AACACTCTCAGGAGAAAGTATGACATGGCCACATTTTATCTGTAAGTGTGCACTAAGTATGTGAAAAGAGATATTAAAATGATAGCTAGGATTTATTGAACAGTTACTATGTGCTGGGCACTTGTTTTAGTACTTTATATACATTAGTGTTTAGCTTCACACAACTCTATGAAGTATAGGTTGCAGTAGTCACAATGTTAGATGAGGAAATTGAGGCCCAACATTGCCCAGCTGGTAAGATGTGGAGTCAGAATGAGAAACCAGGAGATCTGGCTTCACACCTTACTGAAAATCCATCCAACCAATATGAAAAGAACCTGGTAGGGATAGAGGGGAGGGGCTGAGAGAGCTAGGTCTGGGGTGAGGGCATCAAGGGTCAGGAAAATTTGAGCCAACTCTGATTTTTCAGTTGGGTGCCTGGGGATTTAGAGGCCCTGCCAGTTCATAAGGTGGATACAGAATGAAAACCTAGTAGGTGGCTCTGAGATAGGAGAGAACGGATTAGGTCTGAGTTGGGGTAAGTGGTATTAGTGGGATAGTGAGGAGAATCTCCAAGGGGGCTCACTGGAGAAGTCTGAAAAGTCAAGGCAGCATTTTGGTACACCCAGAGATGGCCAGCGCGTGTTCACTGGGTGACCTTCCCACATGACCTTCTTCTCTGGAGAGGGCGCTAAGGCCTGTTGTATTTGCTCTTCACATATCTTCTCTGAGTTCTACACCTGTCTGTCACGCCCTCCTAGGAAGCTATACTCCACATGTCCAAACTGACCCCTTGACAGTCCCCCTGACATGGTCCTCCTCCTAGACCAGGCCAGAGGTGCACTCTCTCTCTGTGCACCCACCTATTGCTGAAGACAGAAACTTCAATGTCCTCCTAAAGCCAGCCTCTCCCTAACACCCTGTGTCATCCACTAGTGGTCACTGGGGCTTTATCTCCTCACGAGCTCTCAAATCTGGCTACAGGTCCTCCACAGGACTGCCAAGCACTTTTTTCTGTCACTTGGACTGTGCTGTAGGCCTCGTGGCTTCAATCCCTTCCAGTGCTGTTTCCACACAATGGCCAGAGTGATCCTTCTGCACATTGAAGGTCATCATGCTCCCCATTTGAAAAATGCATAAATGACTTCCCATTGCTCCAAGGGTAAAGGGCAATACTTCTTTTATTTTATGCTTATTTATTTATTTTGAGAGAGAAAGATCATGAGTGGGGGAGGCACAGAGAGAGAGAGAGAGATTGAGAGAGAGAGAGAGAGAGAGAGAGAGAGAATCCCAAGCAGGCTCCACACAAAGCACAGAGCCCAACACAAGGCTCAGACTCACCAACTGTGAGATTATGACCTGAGCCAAAACCAAGAGTCTGATGCTTAACCAACTGAGCCACCCAGGCGCTCCAGGGCAACACTTCTAATCTGGCCCACCTGGCCCACTTGGTCTACCTGGCATGCATGGTTTGGCACTTCCCTCTACACCTCACCTCTCTCAGCACACCCCTCCTTTTCTCCCCTCTAGCCCCACTATCCTTCTTGAATTGCACCAACACATGTTGGTCCCTCACGCCCACCCCAGCTTTTCTGGGCTTTCTGTCTTACCAGTTTTTCCTGTACTTATTTCCTGTTTCCCTCCTACTTCTTCCCTCCCTTCACAGGTACTTCAAGTCCAAGAGAGCATCTTCTTGTGTTCATGATAGTTGAAACTTTATATTCCTAATTGAAATTAAATTGTCAGTTACTAATCTCCCTGTACCTTAGTGCCTAGCAAATGGCAGGCACATAATAGGTGTTCAACAGATGTTACTTGAATGAATGAATGAATGAATGAATGAAGCAAGCAAGCAAGCAAGCGTGGGCAGTCTTACTTCTCTCCCATTTGGAGACTGTTTTCACCTTCTGTGAGGACAGAACCCATACCTTGCTGAAATGTTCTGGACAATAAGAACTCTTTTGCTGAGGTATTTCCTCCAGCCCCTGACCTCAGAGATCAGGAAGGACCCTTGGGCAGAGTTTAAGGACGTGGCTCAGCCAGTGCAAGGCTCTGCAACTCTGTGGCTCTGCACTGAGTGGAATCACAGAGTTTATGATTCAACATGAACACCACCTTAGCAGACAGAAAGTGCGCTGGGTTACATCAAGGCAGCGTGATATTCCTGGGGTCCTCCCCTCTTTGAAGAATGGCAGACCTAGCCTGGCCTTCTGGTTGAACCCATGTGTCAGCACACTGTCTGTCTCCACTGCAAGGCTCAAGGCTCTGCAGCAAGAAATTACCTACTAATGATTCGCTTGTTTGCTTGTAATTAATGACTACTGAGGGCAGGCAAATCAGGGCCAGTGATCAGTCCTGATTCATTGATCAAAATGTCCCACTGACCAGGGACTCCAGGAAGCACCTGCACTCGAGTCACCAATAATTCTCTTCCTACCCACACAGCAGGGGTTGACATTTAACAAGCAGAAGCTCCCTGGCAGACTTTTGACTGAGCCTGGCTTTCCAAAGCAGTGGGAAAGGGGACTGAAAAGGAAAAAGAGTTATTTGCAGTTGAAACAAAAGAAAAAGAAATTCCAGAGGCAGCCAGCCTAGGATGCTGGACACAGAATTTGGCTATCACATTTCAGTGGCTTGTGGGACTATGTGTATATGGTTTAACCAAACCTAAATGTAGGGTTTGGAGTATTTTTGGCAGGATCTTAAGGGTAGGTAGCATTTTTACTAGCTTTACCAGCCAGCTGTTTGTCTTGCCTCTGAGGTTAAATGATGTTCCCAGTGCCCTAAGGAGTCGCCTCCTTTGTGTGTGCACCAGGGTCCCTGCAACAGTGAGCAGGAGAGAAGTCTGTGGTCAGCATGGTCAGGGGGCCTGGACAAGTGCCGTGACACACAGCTGCTGTGTCAGGAACTTTGGGAGGAGCTTTCTCTGCTCAGAACCCAGCCTTTCAAAATTACCAGGCCAGGTTGAGTCCACACTGTTAGGGCTGGTTCTGGCTTTATTCTCAGGTCACCTTAGAAGGCAAAACCCCAAGAGTATGGTAGGGAGCTTGGGATTCAGTGGTGGGCTTAACGACTGAAGACAGAGACTTCCTGGAAACTGAGGCCCTAGGGGGTACTTAAGGGTCAACTGGAGAAGGTGTGTTCGAGATGGTCTCCAGAAGAAGGTGTGTGAAAGGGAGAGAAAGAGCGCCATCCAGGTGGCTAGAACAAGAACCTTTGTCTCATTCTATTTTTCCCAAACTGGCCTGCCTTCCATATTTGGGGTCAGCTCCTGTGGGCAAGCCATCAAAGACTTTGGATAATAGACTCTGTTGCCTGCAAGGGGTCTGGTGTAGGCAGGTGCAAGGACTGGGGCAGTGGTGGGGAGGAGTTTGAAGGGGGCAGTGACTGGGTGTGTAACAGAGTTGGCACTCAGAGGCAGCCATGGTCAAGATTTGTCTTTGCCATGGACACTGCCTTTTTGGATGGTGGTTAAAGGTACAGACACTGGGATCAGTTAAACCTGGGATTGAGTTCTGGCTCCAGGTCCTTGAACACAGTCACTTAAGTGTCTAAACCGCAGTCTTATTCATCTATGAAGTGGGGAAAATAGTAAGGATACATTCTTCGTAGAGGAGTTTGGAAGATCCATTAGATAAATTTGGAGAATTAACTATTTTCTTACAATCTCTCTTTGGCATCTCCCATAGAACCAAGTGCTTGGAACACAAGAGATGCCAAAGATTCTTCTTGGATTGAATTAAATGCTTGGGAATGTGATAAGAAGTCTCTGAGCCTGCGGGCATCACCGCCACTGGGAATCCTCCTAGTGTCCACCCAGAGCCACAAGGGGGTTCTGTCTGCTCCGTCTTCATCCCCTCTTTTCCTTTCTTAGTTCATTGTTTTCATTTTCAACATTCCTTTGTTCCTCACTACACTTTGACTAAATCTGATCGGTTTTCCTTGCATCAGAATCAGTACTTCTGAATAATACTAGTGGGGCCAACAGTAGCACATTTAAGTTTCCAAATCAGAAAATGTCTTTTGTAGGTTAGGAAACTGAGGCTCAGAGGAGACCCACGACTCACCATGGTGAACCCAGAGCTCTCTGGAGAACTGGATCCAGCTTGTGGCACAGTTGGGCATCAGTACTAGAAGACATCAAGAAGTTCCATCTTGGGGCGCCTGGATGGCTCAGTCGGTTAAGCATCTGCCTCTTGATTTCTGCTCAGGTCATGATCTCACGGTTCATGAGATTGAGCCCCACATGTGCTCTGTGCTGATAGTGTGGAGACTGCTTGAGATACTCTCTCTTTCTCTGTCCCTCCCCCACTCACACTCTCTCTGTCTCCCAAAATAAGTAAATAAACTTTAAGAAAAAAAAGTTCCATCTTGAGTCAGTCACAGCCACTAAACCTAGTCAGTCACTGAGTGGAAAAGAGGAAGGACAAAGATCTGTACACCACACCAACTTCCCAGTGAATTTATAGGGTGAGACATAGCTACTGAATTCTAGAAATACTTGCTGATCCCCAAGGTGCTGATACTACCCTGAGGTCACAAAGCTCTGTTCCAAGCCTTTCAGAATGATGTCTCTTCGTGGTTAGCTGCCACTTCAATTTGGTTGTCAAAGTCCCTGCAGAGTTTTGTTTTGTTTGTTTTTTCCTGATGAGGCTAGATATGTGGGTTATTTCCTTCTTTGAATCTAGGCTAAATTGGGGACTAATCCATAACCCTCTCTGCATGTTGATTGTCACTGTAGCCCAAACAGACCCTATGTCCTTATACCCCCTTCTCCAGAGACCGATGGGGATGGGAAGACATCACCAAGGGAGACTTTCATATACTAAGCAAGAGAAATTAGCATTCTCTGGGTAATGTGACTGCTCCTATTTACTCTGGCTTCTGTCCCACAGATACAGCTGGAATCATGGGACCTCAGGCAGTGCTTAGTTCCCTCCTCTGGGCCAAACAGAGGTCAGAGAGCAAGTGCTTTGGAGCACTGAGCTGGACCTCTAACCTCAGCTCTGTTCCCTGCTCACCTCTGAGGATTGATTGCACCTCCTCCTTCCTGCCTTGAGCACTCCCAGGCCTAGTTGGAGAAGTTATTCAGGGGTCTTGACATAGGATCCTGGTTTTTGGTTAGAGAATTTCATGGGTTGGATTCTGTTCTGCATCATCCTGCAATGCAATGAAGAATTACTAGACTCTCAGTCCCATTCACAGGGACTAATAAGTAAAGGTGCAGGCTTCTTTCTCAACAGGATTGACCCATTGACTCTGTGAGCTTTTTATTTTCTCAGTGTATTTACTTACATAAACATTCATGTTTCGGAATCCTTAGTTAAGGTTATAGGTTTTGGGGCGCCTGGATGGCATAGTCGGTTAAGTGTCTTGACTTTGGCTCAGGTCATGATTTCACAGTTTTTGAGTTTGAGCCCTGCACTGGGGGCTCTCTTCAGAGCCCACTTCAAATCCTCTGTCCCCCTCTCCCCCAGCCTACCCCCCATGCATGCTCTTTCTCTTTCGCTGTCTCTCTTTCAAAAATAAAAATAAACATTAAACAAATAGGTTTTAATGGCAAGTGTTGCACTTTATTTTATATTATTTTAATTACAGTCACAGAGAAATCATGACTATATTATTACGTGGTACATGACTCAAGAAAATTAAGTAAATTCCATAGTAATATATTCTACATAGACTCAATTCCTCTGTTTTCACTTAGTAATTTACATTTACTGAACACCTAAAGTTTGGTAGTTATATTCTAAACATGTACATATTTTTCTCTGTTATAAATTTTCCCCCCAACTTAATTTTTCAAAGGAGCTCAAGGGTCTTTGGAAGCAAAGTAAAAGTGTAGTGTTGTTCCAGGATTCTATTAGCCAGAAACCACTATTCAAAGGCACCAGGGTACTTGTCAGTAGAGTTTTAACTTGTTGAGTTTAATAGTGGCCTTAAGGATCTGTGGGTCCTAAACTGTCTTTTGAGAATGGAAAAAAATCAAATTATGTCCAGAAAAGTGTTAGGGACGAGTGTACTTTATAACATGTGGTCTTTTTATTTGGTGGCCTGTATGTTAGCACATGGTAGGTAGCTCTCTCTCTGGAATATGCCATTCCCTTTTCTATCCTGAGTAATAGAATTTAATGTTGTCCCGTTTTCTTTCTGAATCCAACACTAGCTCATGGAACCTTTGTGTAGAAGGTAGTAGGGAATGTCTTTGGGAATAAAGTTTCTATCATTTATGTGTGTGCATGTGATGCTGAATTCCTATATTTTTCCTAACTTATAAACTTCCGAAGACTGCCAGGGATCATGGAAGCCACACTACCTGATCATCAGTGGCCCGTTCACTCAGACTGTCCTCTTGACCTCAGAGGCCACCTGTCCGCCCATCTGTCCCTATGGACAGTAGTGAAACGGAACTCAACCTTCAGCCCAGGGTAGCACCTCTCCCACTCACAGCTCATGGCCATGTGGGAATTGAGAAAATGGTTCCTGGTCCACTTCTTCAGGACATAAAGTCTTCTCAGACTCATGAGAAAGCTGGCAGTTGAAAAATGTCTCCTGATACTCACTCCATCCTACTCCATTCACAAAGCCTGAGAGAGGCGAGTCAGAGCCTAAGGGCCCTTGAGTTTGTTACTGAACTACTGGTTTTCTGGGGAAAGGATGTCTAGGTGTTATCATCTGCATAATTAACTGCTTTTTATTAAAAAAAGGTTCAAGAACATCATATTTATTTATTTAAAAATATTTATTAGAGAGAGAGGCAGAGAAGAGAGAGAGGGATGCAGAGAATCGCAAGCAGGCCCCATGCTGCCAACTCAGAGCCCAAAGTGGGGCTCGAGCTCCATGAACCATGAGATCATGACCTGAGCCAAAACCAAGAGTCAGATGCTTAACCAACTGAGCCACCCAGGCTCCCCAAGAACATCATATTTAAACAACTGATAAAGTCTGGAAGTCTGATAAAAGACAGTAATGTTTCAGTGATTAACACAGTCAGAGGTGTAAGATTTGGAGGGTAGGGTGAAGATTTTACTGAAGACACTGGTGTTGAAAATGAACATCGTGTTTTGGTTTGGTTGTTCCACAACCCACTTTCCATGCCCCCTTTCCTGAAGGACACAGATTGCCTGAGCTCTTTGCACAAAATAATATGCGATCTGCCTCGAGGGGATTCAGGGACTTAATCTTCTCGCCCTTGCTCATTGCCTTCCCTCAGAAGTGTTAGAAATGTTCCTCTGCAGATGTTACATAGGCGAATGACTGGCTCTGGGATAGAAGATTTTCTCTGTCCTCCACTCCCTAGTGGCAGTCATGTCACTGCCACTTTTAAAATTTGGATTATCTTTGCTTTGCTTTTCAATGAGCAGAAACCGTGTTTTTCATATTTTAAAATGTGGAGCTTCTGGGGTGCCTGGTGGCTCAGACAGTTAAGTGTCCGACTTCGGCTCAGGTCATGATCTTGCTGTTCGTGGGTTCGAGCCCCGTGTTGGGCTCTGTGCTGACAGCTAGCTCAGAGCCTGGAACCTGTTTCAGATTCTGTGTCTCCCTCTCTCTCTGACCCTCCCCTGCTCTCTCTCTCTCTCTCTCAGAAATAAATAAAACGTTAAAAAAATTAAAATATAATTTTATTATTATATTAAATAAATATTTAAAAGAAATATTAAAAGAAAATAAATGTGGAACTTCAGTAAAATTCAGGTTTGCCTTTTCCCCACTTCCCATGCATTAATAACTCTGTTATGTTAATAATCCTTTGAAGCACATGTACTTGGCCCCGCTGTTCCTTAGGGAGAATGCGTCCTCACTGCCAGCCTTGTACTTGGATGCCGGGGATACCACCACCAACTACCTTCCCTCATGTCCCCTACCTGAGCTGGGTGGGGCCCCAGGGAAGGAGAGAGAGCAGTTAACTTCTCCATTCCTTCCTTTCTTCCTTCCTCCCTCCCTCCCTCCCTCCCTCCCTCCCTCCTTCCTTCTTCCCTCCCTCCCTCCTTCCTTCCTTCCCTCCTTCCTTATAGTTATCCTGCTTCCTGTCTATGTTCCCAGTCCCTTCAGTGCTCCCTTCCCCAGCATCGCTGCCTCGTGTGCCACATTCCTGAATTGGCTAAGTAACTGTCTTCCATGCCCACAGTAGTAACCTCACTCACTGTGGACCTCTGACCCTTAAATTCTGAGGCCAAACTGTTCATACTTTAGCTGCTTACATCCCATAGTTACATATTGGCCATGGACAATTATTTTCTTTATATTTTTCTTAAACTCACTTTCAAAATATTTTTTTTACTCCTAACAAGAATTTTTTTTATTTTACTAAATCCCAATGGCAACTTTCCCAACTTTGTAGAGAACAAGATTCCCCAAATATATAGAGTTAGAAATGTATTTGCATACTAAAAATCCCTGTAAGATGGTTAATTGTCCCTTTCTGTGGGTATATCCCATTATAGTCACTTACTCCTGAATCATTCCAGTGCACAAACAAGAAAATTCATTTGTGGTCGAGAAGATGAAAAGCAGTCATGGACAAGTGTCTGTATATACATTTACAGTAATCATGTATGTGCACTGCTCTTCTTAATCTGTTTCTAAATTGTAGCAGCAGAACAAGATTGCACAATAAACACTGTTGCTTAAACATATACACCCAGACACCCGGGAATACCCTGACAGTACAAATTTGGGTAAATTTTAGTGCTCATAAGAAACAAACAAACAAACAAAAAAGGTTTCAATAACACTGCCAATGCATAATTAAAGAATTTATTTTTAAAGGTGCTTTCATATACCGTTTATAAACGAACAGAGGTATTTTATGGTAACATTCAAATAAGCATTATATAACTATTGACATAGTTTGTTCTTGTGTGGCCCAGTATCATCTCATGTATCCCCAAAAACATACCAAGCATTTCTGCTGCAAGTTCTTTGTTCATAGGGTTCTATCCAACCACAGGATGGACCTCAGCAGCCCCATAGTGGAGCAGTTACGAGTATGTTATTCCTTATCTTTCCAATAATGTTTGATACTTTTGATTGCCAGTGTCTGACCCCAGGTAGAGAATTATTCTGGATGCTGTGGTTGTTTGTTGGGCTGGCAGGTAGCTCTTGGAATTAAATGGTTGGTTCTGGCCTCATCACCATGGTGACAGGAATCAACACCAAGTGACCAGCTGGGTGGGGAAGCTATACATGGGGGAGTTATTTCTTTGTCTACATCACAGTAACTCTGATTCCTATCCCCTGAGTGGGTCACACCAGCAGTCACCACCTCAGATCCCACCTCTGACATCTTAGTTGAGAGGACCTGAAAACCATGGAACATGGAGGCATGGGATGCGCTGATGTATTAAAAAAAAAACAACAACAACAAGGGGCGCCTGAGTGGCTCAGTCGGTTAAGCATCTGACTTTGGCTCAGGTCATGATCTCACGTTTTGTGGGTTTGAGCCCCGCATCGGGCTCTGTGCTGACAGCTAGCTCAGAGCCTGGAGCCTGTTTCAGATTCTGTGTCTCCCTCTCTCTCTGACCCTCCCCCATTTGCGCTGTCTCTCTCTCTCTCTCTCAGAAATAAATTTTAAAAGTTTAAAAAAAAAAAAAACAAGAAGGGGGCACCTTGGTGGCTCAAATGAGTTAAGCATCCAACTCTTGGTTTCAGCTCAGGTTATGATTTCATGGTTTAGTGAGTTTGAGCCCCACATCAGGCTCTACGCTGACAACTGCACAGCCTGCTTGAGATTCTCTGTCTCTGTCTCTTTGCCCCTCCCCTACTCGTGCACGCACACGTGTGCACTCTTTCTCTCTCGCTCTGAAAATAAATAAACTTAAAAATTTTTATTTAATTTAATTAAAAAATGAAATTTTAAAAAATATTAAAAAAAGAGAAAGATAAGCAAACAGGGTAAGCATTGCCTGTTTACTTAGTGAACACAGTGCCTGGAGCAGAGCAGTGATTCCAAAATTTTTATTGAATGAATAAACCAAGTACTAAAACCATTCCTTGTAATAGTCAGGCGTTCACTCCTTCACCAGCATTTGCTGTTTTCTGCACTCTTCCAGACCAGGTTGAGGATAAAAGAGTAAAAGAATCTGGAAATGGGAAGTGCTGTTGGAATGTAATGTGAGTGGGGGGGGGCGGGGAGGGGAAGAGGGAGAGGTTTGGGGAGTTCTTGGGGAAGGGGGGCCAATAAGAAAATGGGAACACCAGGGAGGGATCAGGAGCCGGTGAGAGGAGCACGCCTGCCATACCAACTGCATGCTCATGTGCCACCCTCCCATTCCCAAAACACTGAAATGTGGCTGATTAGGGAGAGGCTGCAGGCAGTCCACTGTGCTGCTCGCCTCTCTGGGTCTTCACAAGAGACCTGATTTGTGGGGAAAATGCTTGCTGTACACTGTATCTCTTGGCTGTTGCTCCCTTGGCCTGGCTTGCTGCATTCCAAGTTAAAATAGCTCACGCTCCTTCCGGGTGGAACTAGCAGCCTCCCCAGGGTCTGGGGTGTAGATCTGCATAGAGGGAGAGAAAATTCTCCGCTGCTGATCTTCCTTTTGACAGGCATCTGTCTGTGCCTTTCACCCTCTGCCATTAGGCCTTCACGTGACAGCAGAGATGCCAACTGTGTTATCTGAATATATAGACCGAGAGTTGCCCATCTGCTGTCCCTCCCACTCAAATCAATTATGCTTGTGGAAGACGTTTTAAGCATTTTTCATCCTTGAAGGAGAGCAGTACCTTCCTCCAGCTGGGAGCCCTGTGGTCAAGAAGCCCTCCTGTGGTGATAGGGCTCTGTCTTCAAGAGCTACAAAATTAGCCCAGGAAAGCTTTGTAAACCTGAATCTTTGGGGCATCGCAACAAGGATGCCTGGTTTCATCCAAACTCATTACCTTCCAAGTGACAGAATCATCTGGGAAATAAACTTCTTATTAAAATATAAAACCTTCCCAGAATCCATCTGCAAACTTCAAAGGGAGGTTTGGGGGAAGGAAATCCTACCCAATTTTAACTATTCCACGGATGTTTGCAGGGGGGTTGGAGGGAAGGAAAATTGTTCTGTGGTGCCAAATCTGAATCTGGTTCTGTGCTATGGGTCAGTTTCCAGGGCACACTATCTGGGTGGCAACTTTTCTCAGACCCGGGCCTTAACTTGGAACAGAAAGAGCTAGAACCCCTGGTCCAGCTCTGGGCTACAGTGATTTGGAGGGATTAAGAGGCAGAACTTGCTCAGGCAAGCCTGAGTGCTCAGGGACTCTCATTTCTCAGCTGGTGTACATCTTCCATTTCAGTGAGATGCCCCATTCCCTTGGAATCTTATGGACAAAAGCCAGCCCAAGGGGCTGTTTCAGATGGGAGTCCCCAAGACAGAGGTCCTTGTATAGTGGATTTATTGCTCGAGAGTTCTCAGGAGAAACGGGAGCAAGAGACGCAGGATTAGGCAGGAAGACAAGTCAGCAAAGCTGTGTTCTCAGCCGCAGACTGGTCTCAGCCTGATCCCACGGGACCATGGTGCATGAATAGCAGCATGGAGCTGTCCCAACTTGAGGCAGGACATTGGCTGCACCTCACTCTTGGCGTGAAGACTTAATCTTCAAGGCATTTAGGGTGAGGTATCAGGCATTCACCCAAAGCAATTCTCTGGAGAATGCACATGGAGCCATTAGCTGAAGGCATTCTCAGCACTGGGTGGTGGGTGCACCAGCCCAGTGAAGGAAATCCTGAGCAGGAATCAAACTGTCCACTTCAGTGGTATACAGTCACTCTGTTGTGCTGCTTGACTTCACACAGAAGGTGTGATCAAACCAACAAGCTTTTGTTACCTTCACAAGGCAGCGCCACCATCAGTCTGTGAGATTCACTTCCCTGTCCAAGCCATTATACCGTAGCAGGTTTTAGACATGTTTTATAGAGGGTTGGGGAGGGGAGTGGATGCATAAGCTAGCGCATAGCCGGTCAGACATTATTGTTTTCCCCAGCATACAGCACCACCAGCCATGGACATAGCCCCTCAGTTATTCAGCCAGGCTTGTTAAAAATGCGGGCATAAAAAGAGCTGATTTCATCCATTTTATGGCTGTCTAGTTCCCCCCAGGAAAGGCAAGGTTGCCCAGAATGTGTGTGGTCCATACCTTTTGTGTGGAAGATGTTTTCAAGACTTTATTCCCTTGAACGTGCCTAGTCTTGCCCCTGACCATTACTTACGTTTCTTGCCTTTCCTCAAGCTCTTGCCTTACTGTTAGCTCGAAATGGTCACAAAAATTCCAGGCTTTTCCATTCTCCAACCCAACCTGCCACTTTCTTTCATACCATGAGGCTCTAATGCCCAGCTCCTCCACAGCACCCCAGATTTGGGGCTGGGTCTTCTGTTGTCACCTGAGTCTGTGTCCACTTCCAGTGGACCAAGATATAACCACAGGTTCTATTCTTTTGACTATTTGGATCTGAGCTTTCTGGTAACAACAGTTTTTTAAAAATGACCTGACAGGAGGACACAGAAACGTCTGGAATGTGTTCAAGACCAGTGAAAACTCTGTAAGAAGACAATCTCGCTGCTGCCTCTTGATTGTGACCAGTCAGATATCCTCCTGGGACACCCCTGGCTCCCATCACCTGGCACTAGGGATGGAAACTTTGGCCATAGGTAGTTGTTTCCAGGGCTTCTCCATTCTCTGCCTCACCCCTGTCCTACTCCCCTTCTTGCCGACAATTTCCCAGAGCAAGGCCCATCTAGCATCATTTTGCCCTAAACCCCAGCCAGCTCATCTCCATGCAGCAAGGACCTGTAGGCATGCTGGAATCTCATTAGAAAGAAATGCAGGTCCACTGAGCTCAAATAGACCCCCTAGGAACTGACAGGCTGATGAGTGATGTATGTGACTTGTTTGAGACCGTCTTTTGAAGGGAGAGTGTGCAATACTGTCCCCATAGAACAAGTTACTGCCCACCACCCACCCTCCAGCCTCCACTCATGTGGTCTGGATCCCAATCTCTGTGGTGATTTAGTGCAGGATTCCTTTGGGATGATCAAGGGAATGTTTGTGGAAGAAGCAGCATTTGTGTGGTTCCTGGGTTAGCCTGGGTTCCCAGAAGCTGAGCCTGGCATGAGCGTTCATGCAAAAATGATTTTGAAAGTGCTCCCTGGAAAAACTGGTAGAGAGTGAGAGGTAGGACCAAGGAAGAAGGAGAGAGGGGAAGGATGCCGTGTCAAGCATAAACTTGCAGCAGCCACATTAGCTCCAGGGAGCCCTAGGTGCTGGCTTGTCAGATGTGAAAGCATTCAGGAAGGGACAGGAGGAAAATGGCAAAGGGATCTGCAGCCAGGGGCTCAAAGCATGGACACTGCTTCACTTTCTTCTAGCAACTTCCAGAGGAGTTAACAGGAGGATTAACCCCCAGGACAGTTCTTCCCCAGTATCTAAACCTCACTCTGTTGTAAGTTGGGGTCTCTTGGGAATCCTGATAGCAACTCTGTTCTGCCTTTAACCCTGTGGGTCCCAGCACACCAAGAAGATACTGGGGTACCAACATCTCATGACCTTAAAATGTGTAAATGATAAGGTGGGGGCTGCAGGGCACAGATAGAGTTGCTGCAAAAGGTTCCAGCATGCTTTGCATCAGGATTTATCTTAGGTAATAGGAGAATGTGAGTTTACTCCTAGTTTATTTTCAGCCTGTAAGACATGTCAAGATGCAAGTAGACATTTCTAGCACTTAAATAAGGCAGAACTCTGAACCAGTTCCTTTTGGGTGGAAGGGGTACGAATCCGTTTTGTCTAAGTAGGAAGCCCTAGATGGAGAAAGCTATCCACCACAAGGTCCGCAGTGGACCAGAATTCCAACGCATGCCAAAGTTATGTTCTATAGCCCCAGGCTTAGTAAATGTCTAATCAGGAAAACTGGCCAATTTTAGTCTTGGGTCCCATTCTGGGTTCTAATTCACCATGAAATTTAATGCAATCCCATGTGCTTTCTTAGATTCTGGGTGAAGTCTTTTCCTTTGGGAAAAAACAAAACAAAACAAAACAAAAACAAAGCTAGGTTTTGCATAAGCACGTGCTTGCTTTCTCTGAGCCTCGGTGAAAACGTGGCTACTAGGGTGCAGTAGAAAGGGCACTTGACTTAGATCTGGCCCC